CATTTTTAACGTAAAAAAAGGACAAAACTCATCGAGATTTGTCTCTAAATTTCTTTTGTTTTATGGATTCAATGTTTTGATTCTGCATATCTGCTGTTATTTTAGGATTCCTAATGAAAGAAAACCCTAAACACAAATTCCAAGAGGAAGATTATTGAATTGGGGAGGAGACATGGCCCAGGATGCAAGGAAACAAGCTCGGCATGCTGCTTGAAAGCTCAGTTTTTTAGATTAGTTGCTTAGAGTTATTTCTTTAAAGACAAGGTTCAGATTTCATAAGATTTTGTGTGATATATATTTTGGATATTTATATACTCGTATGTAGAAATCAACAAGCATTGCACAAACAAAACTTTTCTTAAAATGATAATATATGATCAAGTTGTTATTATAATAATCTTGACATCAGTTTCTTGTGCTGAATTTGACTCCAAGGTTCATAATAGAACTTATTTAATGCAGCTGAAAGTATATTTTGTTGGGGTCTTTTTTTGTTTGTTAATGGACACTGTGATATCACACATTCTGTTAATATTTATTTTTTACATGCTATAACAATTTAAGGTAGACGACATGGCGGTATGAAATATTGAAGCTTTCTCCACATTTATGGGAAAAAGTCAAATGTTGGGCGAAAAATTACTTGATTGGACACATATAAACTTTGTTGATTGGATAGATGTTATAGCGAAACTCTTCTTAATCTTTAAGAGTGGAGTTGTTGAATCTGAATCTTTCCAGTGAATCACGCCCAATGAATAGTTACATTATGAAAGGTAAATGCACGACCATGATGCCTCCGACACAAATTTCTCTACAACATTCAAGAATTGATAAGTGAGTCCTCGATCTCTCAAAATTCGATTATCCATCGACAACATCTATATGTTGATTAGATTAGTATATTTAAATATCAACTGTATATACATTTCGTATGTATTTCATATGTAACACTCAAACTTCAATGTTCACATACGAACCACAATTCTAATGTATTAGATATCAATTACTTTAAGTTTAGTTTTTACATACATATCACACAAATTTTATGTATTATATATTTACAACCTAGACTTCAATTTTTACATACATTCCACTCAATTCATATGCATTAAATATCTAACACAAACTTTCAATTTTTACATACATTCCACTTAATTCTTTTGTATTACATATCTAACACCCAAACTGTAATATTCACATACAAATAAAGAGAAGAGATCTTCAATCCTTACTCAATTCTTTCGTATTACTTGTCTAAAACCAAAACCTCAATTAATTTTTACATAAATACAAACCCTAAATCCAAAAAAGTAATGAAGGGTAAGCCTAAAAAAGGAGAAGAGAACTTTACCTAAGGTCTGAGAGGAAGAATATTCGTCGGAGCTACGATTTTTCAAGATAAACGACATAGCAGTATGAAATATTAAAGCTTTCTCCAAAGTAATAGTGAAAAGTCAAATGTTTGGTGAAAATTTATTTGCTTGGACATGTATAAACTTTGTTGATTTGATGAATGTTATAGTAAAATTATTCTTAATCTTTAATAGAAAAAGCATTTTCTAATAACATTTTGGAATGATTTTTATGCTAGTAATATTTGACAATGAATATGTTAGATGCTAGATAAAAGATTTTGTCAAATCATGTGCTCAATCATTCTTGATGGTATATTCTAGAGGGATATTATATGAAAAATTCAACTTTGAATCTAAATCAAGTAGAGATACCAAAACTTTGCTTACTTATTGTGAAAGTAAATTTAGGAATTACATCAATTTTGTAGTGATATTTTGGGAGTAAACTTATAAATTAAATTGCACTTCTAGTGATATTTGTTAGGGAGGATACAACCTAAAACCTCATGCATGATATTCTTTTGGAGCCAATAAAATAGTAATTAACTCTTTTGTTTCTATCCTAGAAATTGAAGTTCAATCACCCTCAAGTACATAAAATTTCTCAGTGCAATGCAAATAATAATAATAATAATAATTTTTATAAAAATAAAGTGTAATGCAATTATTATATATTCAGTTTTTAATAGTGAATAAATCTCCCTATATGCAATGTAAATTTTATTTCTACCATATATATATATATATATATCCATTATTAATATTAGCATCAAATACACTGCATCATGAGCTGTCCACCACAAATTTGTAGGCATAAGCACTGATTAATGAATATAATTACTTAATAAATTCAAGAGAAGATGAATATCTGTTGTCAACTAGTTGACTTGGTATTTAAATGTCATGTACTGACACATATAAAGTATTAACATAATTATTTCAGATGCACCAAAGCTTTATAGTCCTAATGAAAAGCAGGCCAAATAATATAATTGGAGGCATGGAATGCAAAGGATTTGCTGCAAACAAGCGAATCAAGTCAAGCAATTAAAAACTTATGAGTAGGACAAGGTTTGTTTCCTTCAAGAAATATGTTTAACTTTGTGAGGGATTAGATTAACAGGGTAATTAAGCTGTTAATGACATTCTTTGTATTTGTACCCGAAAGGATAAGCTATTAATCATAAACTGATGCTAACTGGCAGAAAATGAGGTTTGGTGCTGGGGGAGAAATGCCTGGAACTTTCCTGCATTTTGAATAATATATACGTTAGGTGAGGAATGAATGTATTAGTGCAAGAGAAAAAGCAATTAAGTATTACAATTAAGGATAAGGTTAACAGAAAGAGAATTTTATAATTTTTGATGCATGATTAGATTGTGCTCATTCAGGTGATAAGTCAGATTTATTTAGGAGCTGTTTGTAATCACTTTAGCTATTTTGTTTATTGTTATTTTTTATTATTTTTTTTAATTTTAAAATAAAATATTTTTGATACATAAAAATAAATATGTTTTTTTTTTTGGAAATATATTTAATTTATTCTTATGAATATCCTACCATAATTCTTTGTAGGATTTTAAAGAGAAATGTTAATAACAATGTTTTAATAGATCACTTCTTCTGCATTAAAATTACGAATTTGCACCAAAAAAAAAAAAAAAAAAGATTATTTGAGTTTATTTTAAATCAACTTAATTTTTTTAATATTAAAACTTATATATTTACAAAATAAGTCTCTGTTGTTGAGAGAGAGATTCTTTCAGGATCAACCAATGAGCCTTGATGTGCCATCAACAAAGTTTTATTATCTAGCAGGCATCTCAATGCATTTTTTAGCAATAAATATTTAAAGATCATCCAAGTCCGATATTTCATTAAGTTTATAATGAAACTGACCTTATTGGAGTCTTCTCCTACTACTATTCTTTTAACTGTGTATTGGATCTACATAGAATGCTAAGACAATAAATCATCACTTTGGTGTTGTGAATCTCCCGACATGCAATAATCCTTAATCTCATATAACAAAAAAAATATTACTCCAACAGGACTGTATTAAGCTGCAATGGTTAAAATGTAGCCCTCATCAATATTTTACTTTTAATCTTTTAAGAAAAAAAGATTGTGAGAAACGAAAATTAGGAATATGAAAGAAAAGAAAAAACTACGGCTATATTATGTTCTTGACTCATTCATATTTTTTAGTCGAATCTTGTATTGAGTCCAATGCATTTCATATCAGCTTATATGTAACCAAGAGTCAAGATTTCACCAAAGTATTCCAACATATCTAAACCAAACATAAGGGTGTCAACCGACTTGCACCGACTTTCACCGAATCTACAAGAAAACCAAGTAAATTAACACAGATAACATGTTCGACCAATTGTCTATTCAGTGGGCTAACTTTGCGAGTTCTATCAGCTCGTCTGACAGCAGGGTAACATTATGCAAACCACTACACTAAACATGTAACCATAGTATTGTAACCATTTCGACACAACAACCTCTTGGTTCTGCTCAAACCTATAAATAGAGGTATTTTATAAGAAATTATTCGATATAACTTCTTACTATTCCGCTTTACGGTTCCTATTCTCATTCCTACATGCTCTTATCTAGGTGATGTGTGATCACTCATAATTTAGAATCCCACACATTTAATTCCTCACCTTATTATGTCAAAACATAAAGTTTGCATTTGTAATCAATTTCTTATACTAACTATAGGTTTCTCATGTCATGCCATGCCATGTGACAGCCAAAAACAATTTCTAAATATCATCCAAGCTTTGCCTAATTCCAAAGTTGCTTCGAACTCTTACTTATTCTAAATTTAGAAGCATGCCATAAATTTAGGCGCCATTTGGTTCCTTGCTGACCTACCTTACCATTCCATTTCCCTAAACTTAAACCTCCACACCAACTTACCTGATAATTAAGCAATCACTTTTTAAGCTAATTACATTTTCAAATTTAATCAAATCATAATTAATTACCTAAATAAATTGGTTCTAAACCTTTTTTTAATTCAAATTTAATAATTAATATTATAAAAAAAAATACATATTTAATTTACCAAAAGGCCAAATGGTTGCATTTGAATGAGTTATATTTTATTGTTAAATTTCCTATTTGGCCAAGAAGACTTCCCATCTAGCCAAAGAGGACGAGGAAGAAAACGAAGAATTCTTAGCATATCTTTTAGGGTGTTAAGTATGAATAATTGGTATGTCCTAATTTTAAACGTGGTTTTATGTGGCAGGCGCAGCATTTTTATACTATTTCGTTTGAAGAAATTCATGTGGAACACCTAATTTTAGATAATTGCATAAAAAATAATTAAATTTATAGTTAAATGAACCATGAACACGATAGATTTAACTGTATTAGAGGGAAGACTGACCTAGGGTCGTGAAGGCTGGTCGGGTCAACCTGAGGTTGATGGAAATGCATGACTTGGGGTCATGCTATGGAAATTTTTTTGCATAAGTTGTCTGCACACAGAGCTGTGACTATTATTCGGACGCAGCACCGTCCAAACAAAGTACACAAAAATCGCTCCATGCCATGATCGATTCGATAATTAAGGATGACTGACAGTACCGTGATAGTAATAGATCGTTTAGAATCCACCCAATTCAATTTTATTTTCAGTTCAGAAAATTAGATAACTCGTTTGTAAAATAACACATCTGCCTAGAAATGCAAACCGATATTTATAATCCTACATTGCTAAGAGAGAACACCCAACAATCTTACATAATTACAAAACAATTCCATACAACATAACAGATGGGTGTTCCTCCTCTTTGACATTTGCATTAATTTAACAAAAAAATTCTTATAATAAAACAATTGAAAGTAAAATAAATAAATAAATAAAAACTCCTACTTCATTTTTTTTTCCTAGTGGCATTTCCGTCATTTCACATCATCGAGCTGCGCTGATCGGACGGAAAATCACAGGCGCACCATACTGTGGATACAACATCATCAGAACCGTCGGCGCATGCACGTATTTGGGCGATATACGAATCTCGAAGCGGCGAAGCAAGGCGGCGAGCGCTAGCTTGGCCTCAAGCACGGCGAGGCCCCGACCGACGCACATGCGCTGACCTAGACCAAAAGGCATGAATGCATTCGGGTGTCGGGCCGCCCGGCTCGCTCCCTCGGCGAAACGGTTCGGGTTAAAACGGGCCGCATCCGGGCCCCACAGCCCGGCATCGTGGTGAATGGCTATGATTGGTACCAATATCTCAGTGCCTCGCGGGACAACGTACCTTCCTAGCTCCACGTTCGCTCTCCTGATGGTGGCCCCCGCCGGCGGGTACAGTCTCAGCGTCTCGTTCACAATCATTCCCAGCTGAAATTCCAACACGTCAAAAGCTCTTTTTCGTAATTCGTTAACAATTAATTATAGGGAAATTAATAATTAATTATTGATTAATAATTATTTACCGTCTTTAGTTTTGGGAGGTCGTCTTTGGAGGGCACATCACGTGAGCCGCAGACTTTGAGGAGCTCATCACGTGCCAGGTCCTGCCATTCCGGATGCATGGCTAAAAGAACGGTGGTCCAAGTCAGCAGATTTGTAGTGGTCTGCTTACCCGCGAAGAAGAAGGTCTTGCATTCCTCCACGATATCGTTAATAGTGATGTCCGCCGCCGCCGCAGCTGTCATTTGACCGAGCAAATCCTTCGCCTCGCCGGCGGGCCGGCGGCCGCCGGCGCAGCCGCCGCCTCCTGCTTTCTCTCCTCTCGCCGACAACCAACCAAACTCAATAGATTCTCTCTGATTTCCTTATCCAGCTTCCATCTTCTCCTGTTCTTCTCAGTTGGCAAATATCTATCCACAGATCAAAATTTCTCATCAGCAACGGTTAATCTGATGACAAAATGTAATTTTTCAAAAACCTTAATTAAAATCAAGTACCTGTATCCAGGAATGAAGACTCTGTTAAAGGCTTCGGCTGCAAAAACCATGAGTTTCGTCTGCAACTTGAGCACAGCTTTGCCTTGATCATAGCTACGGCCAAATGTCGCTCGAGTAATGGCTTCTTCCGTTAGGCTTTGATACCAATCTGCTACATCCAGCTCCACCTCTCCTGAAGACCCCGGCATCGCCGCTGCTTCGGAGAGCTTATCCAGAATGGCAGACATCTTCTCCCCAATTGCCGGCATTAACAGCTGTGGAAAGATTCAATTTTTCAGATGGAGGAGAATGAAAATAGACAAAAAGTAATGATCTTTTAATTCATGTTGTTTGAATGGTTTAATTACTTGTAAGTTTTCCATATGGAAGACTGGAGAAATAAGCTTCCGGTGAAGAGCCCATTTGGCACCGCGGAGATTAACAAGTCCTTCACCTTCAAGCTGTCGGATGAGAGGGTGGGCTTCATAACGGTCAAAATCCGCCGCCCGGGAGACGAAGATTTCTCTAATAAGGTCGGGATCGGCGACGGTGAGCCGTGGGGTTGGACCGAACCATAACAGAAAGGTTGATCCTGTAATGCACGTTAATTAACTCGCTAGATTCCTTCATCAAAGATGCAAAACAGGGAGTTTGATGTAAAATAACAAGTTTTCTAACCATAAGCTTTCTTCCAGTGGTGATAGAAGGAGAGAGCGCGAGGAAGGATGTTGTGAGAGAAGGGAGGTCTCATGGGTTTGGAGGAGGCTGCAAGCATCATGGAAACCATCTCGCCGAGGTTGCCGAAGAGAAAGCGATAAGGAGGGCCACGAAGGCCTTGGTTCCAGAAAAAATGCTCTGTTTTCTTAGGTTTGAGCCAGAGAAAACGAAAAGCCATGATGGTAAGGTGAAGGAGGATGTAGAGGAAGAAGAAGAGTAAACAAAATGTTAGCTTTGGAGGGTAGAGGTGGAGGAAGCTTGAAGAGAATGTCCATGCTAAGACCTTCATCATTTCTTTCGGCTCTCTTTTCTTGAGTTAATTAATTGGCCTGTATCTCTCTTTAACGGGGAGGAAAGGTGTGTTGTGAGTATTTATAAAACAGGTGGATTGATAATGGGAATAAGAGAATACGCTGACTTGGTTGTTTATTTATTAGCTGAGGCCAAATTCTCCTTGTGACTGACGAGGCTTTTTTATTGCTTGGTCTTTAATATGTTCTTGTTGTTTTCTTGAAGGAAATGCTCTCTTCGTTACATCAGCTCAACGATTTTTCTCGCTTCAATATGTATACAAAAGCAAGGACATTGTGAGTTATTTATGATTTTCCCATCAAATATGATTGTGTACAATTATGTGTCAAATAATTCCTGACTTTGAGTTACAGTAACTCTTAGTGTTATGTAAAAATCTAAGTCATGCATAGATAAAAGAAAAGGGATAGGGATGATACCCGAAACTTTTATGTGAAAAAATCAAGAGGGAAAAAAAAAGAGAGAGGAATGATCTAGTTGAAATTGTTGTACTATTCATGTTATATTACATGTTCTGCATGCTCTTAAACAGGAAAAAAATAGTATTACAAAACTGCTAGGATTTAACTTAATTTTCACTAGAGGAATAATGGTAAATATTGGAGAAGTGATATCGTTTGCAATGATTGAAGACCGATGATAGGGTTTGTGACAATCAAGATTCGTCGGCATCGATGACGGTGGCAATTAGACACTAGTGATCCAGCAACAGTAATAGTTATAGTCAGATAATACTGAGATCAGACAACAGAGGTTTAATTGTGGCAATGGCGTCGGTAGGGCATCCGTGATTTGATGACAACTGTGTCAGCGACCAAGAAATAGTGATGGTAATTGTGGCGTGATCCAGTCACGTGATTGTGGTTCGCTAGCAGACAGGTGATGGTGGTTCAACATAATAAGGATTAGGAGATAATGACCAGACAAAGGGGGTAGAAGTTAATTTAATGACCATATCTCCAACTGTAGCGTCAACTAAGCAATACTAGTCTAGTGACAACTGAGGTGGTATGACAATGTTAGCTAGAAGATGATAGTCTAACAACGATAGTGGCTAAGAGATGATGTTTTGGTAATGGCAACAGTGACAACAACATCACATTTTATTAGGCAATGATGGTTCAAACAATTTCAGTGGTGGCCTAACAACATCAATTACGTGAAAGTGGTTTGATGGTGGGAGTGGCTAGGCGGTTGTGACAACATCCACTGCAGGAGAAGCTCATATTAGCGTCTGATATTTGTGTTAGTTTTTTCTGACGTAATACTTAACATCTAATTTGTGTTAGATTTTGTATCTACTATGTGCCTAAAAATTCGATGGACAAAGTATTCTAAAAATGACAAATATTATTTTGGCATTGCCATGAATTTTGCGTCGAATTAACGTCCAAAAAATCGACGCAAAAATTTACTAATCAGCGTTGAATTATTTCTGACACGAATTAGATGAAAATCTGATGCAAATGACCTAATAAACTCACCCCACTCGCCTACATTTCATTTCTCCTCTCCCCCATCCCGCGCACGTCTCTCTGGTCCCTCTTCCGCCCGAAACCTTTTCGAGCTTACCCTCTCCCCTTTGCCTCTCCACTTCCATTCTCCTTTTCTATTTCACTCAAATTCGTCTTCTTTTAGAACGAAGCTTCACGATACAATCGCGATTAGAGCTAGTTGCGAAGGTAACAATGTTCTGCGCTTCGAGCTCGTAGAGACGATCAAAATCCCTCTAATCAGAAAGTGTTGAAGAAAGCAAGTCTATTCGCGCCACTATTTTCATTTATTCGCGGTATGCATGTAAATATTGAAGTTTAGGTGTTAGGTTTGTATATACAAAAGAATTGAATGATATTTATGAATAAATGCATAGGTAATGTGGCAATGTATAAATGGAAGTTTTGGTGTTAGGTGTGTATATAAATAAGAATTCAGTGGACGACATATAAATATGGAAGTTTAGGTGTTAGGTTTGTAAATACATAAAAGTGATATGTATTATTTAAATGCATAGACAATGCGGTATGTATGTATAAATTGAAGTTTTGGTGTTAGGTATGTATATACATAAGGGTTCTGTGATATGCATGTAATTGTTGAAGTTGAGGTGTTAGGATTGTATATAAATAATAATTGAGTGATATGTATTAATTAAATTCATATTTAATGTGTTATGTATGTATAAATTGAAGTTTTGGGTTAGGTATGCATATGCATAAGAGTTCACTGGTATGTATGTAAAAATTGAAGTTTAGGTGTTAGGTGTGCACTTCATAAGAATTTGAGTGATATATATGAAATTCATATATGGGTAATGTGGTATGTTTGTACAAATTGATCTTTTGATGTTAGGCATGCATATACAAAAGAGCTCAATGGTATATACATAAAAATTGATGGTGATATATGGATATTGTTATTAGTAGAATTAGAGTTAGTTGGTTTAAGGGGAGGAATGCATGTATCGATCTAGTCTATTGTTCGAAGTGGTGATGATATTGGTGGGGATGCTATTAGTAGAATTCAAGTTGGTTGGTTGAGTTGGAAAAGTGCATATGGTTTTGTTCATAGTGATGGTGATATAGATGGGAATGTTATTGGTAGATTTCACGTTGGTTGGTTGAAATAGAGGAATGCATCGGGTCTATTGTTTAAAAAGTAAACCACTTCAAAGTAGTGTCTTATATATGGTTGACAAAGTAGTATCGACATCACCAGATAAAGCGAGCTACTTAAAAGAGGTTCTTGGGGTCATTTTCTTCCATTAGAATTTGCTCCCACAAACTACTAAACATAATCATCTACTGTACATATTGATAAGTAAGTACTAATTAATGTTTATTTCCGTAATAGTTGCATTGATCTATAAAACTACCTCTAAGCTGCAAATTGATAGTTGTAATTTGAGAGCGTGGACGCATAACATATTACATTTGAAGTAATGATTCATGATGCTCAAACAGCTTAATTTATTGGGAGTGTTCAACTCGAACCTAAAATACCGAACAATGAATCACAACCGTTTTATGAATTACTGAATGATGCATAACAACTTTATGGAATTGTTGAACTACACATATAAAGTTATCAGTGGCGCTAAAAAGCATTCAATCAGGTAGCAACTTTATTGAAACAGACTAACTCTGGCGAGAATTTAGTGTTGGATGACTTGTGTAGAACGAAAAAGTTGGTTTCAAAGTTAGGGTCATAATGTGAGAAGATCGATTGTTATGTCAATGAGTGCATGATATATTACAAGGCAGATGCAGTCGAGATGAATTGTCGATTTTGTGGTATGGATAGATTCAAACAAAGGGGGAGAAAGAATAAATCAAAAAATTACTCCATACAAGCATCTATTTTATTTTCTGCTCATACCCCAACTTCAGAGATTGTTTGCTTCTTTTATTTGTAAGCATTATATTAAACTTTTGTTGTGAAATTTTTTGGGTTAAATTTACTTTTCTTAGTTAGGACGATTTGTGATAGTATTTTTCCTTCATTAATGATATTATTTAGAGATTTGATTTGTGATATAGATATGTTTAAACCGATACAAATTATTTGCGTCAGAAAATTGGACATAAATAACATTATTGATCCCCAAACTAACATCGAAAAATCAGACGTAAATCCGACACAAATCTGATGATAACCCTTAAATATCGTGGGATTTGCGTCAAATTTATGTCTGATATGTTTGACGCAAATATGCTTAATTTTTGTAGTGATCGGTGCCATTGGTAGAGTAATGATTGTTGAACAACAATGGTTTATCGTAGAGATGGTGGTGGTGGTTAGATGACAGTGATCTGCTAATGGCGACGGTACATTGCAAGTGTGACAATGACTTAGCAAAGGTTATTTAACATAAAGGCGGTCGGGCAATGTTGATTCAGTGTAGCAGGAGCTGGGAGATGATGATCTGGCAATGATGGTGATGGTCTGATGATTGTGGCTTGACTGTGGTGGTGACGACCCGATGATGTTGGTTCAATGGTTGTGTTGTTGACTTGGCTTTGATTGGGAGACAGTAATCTAATGGTAGCGACATGCCAATGTTAGTGGTCCAACACAGTGGCAGTGGCTCGATGTTAGTGGACTAGAGTGGCTGCAGTGCTCAACATTGATCAGGTGATGGTGGTCTCGTGGTTGTGATATCCTGACAAAGATAGTTTGGCACAACAATGATGACCCGCATGTTGGAGATCTGACATGGTGGTGGTAACCCAACATCGATTGAATGATTGTGATTCGATACTGGCGACAACTCGTGAAGGTGGCTGATAGTGGTGAAGACAGCTCGATGTTGGCGAGGTGACTGCGGTCCAACTCTGGTGGCAGACTGAGATGATGGTCAAATGATGGAGGCGAAGCTCAGAGTTAGTTGGGTGATGGTGGGCTGTGTTGGCTGCAACCTACGAAGGTGCTCAAACGGTGACATCGATGGCTTGAAATCAATTCGGTAGCTTGACATTTGTTCGGTGGTGCCAGTAGTCTAGCTTAGTGATCCATCATGAATATGGTAATCGATGTCGGCCGGCTGATGATGGTACAACATAGTGGTGGTGGCCTGATGTAGGGGATCCGACATGGCTGTGGTGTCCCCAAATTGAAAGGGCGACGACGACCCTCCAGTTCTGGTTGGCCAAAGATGGTAGTCCTATAGTGGTGGAGCTCGAGAATCCTTAAAAGCTTAGAGCTTCTTTCAGTCTTCTCATGCTAATCCAATCATCCTCCATGAAAAGTGTTGGCGGGGACACCGCTCGAGAAGGGGAGTGCGGGGAGGGGGGAGGGGGGGGGTCTATTTATTTTTAGAGCAGCATTCTCCATAAATACTGCATGAATTTCATACCACTCCATCATACGATCTAGTGCTTCCCATGATCGAATACATTTTTAAGATATTTTAATGCTTGAATGATGTCAGAAGTAAACGATCTTAAACTCAATTTTACTATAACTTATCAAAAGTGGAGATGATCATTTATCGTCACGAAATATATTTCAAAACATTTCTTTATGCTTTAAGTGCATAATTTGGGCTCACTTGGGCTCAAACCAGATACTA